GGCTTTGCAGTCTGGTGCATTAACCCACAGCGCCACACCAGGACTCCTCTGTGGGTTTTTAAAATCGGAAAGGTGTGCACCAGGGTTGTTTTCCTTTCACCATACTTATTCAAATCTGTATGCTGAGCAAATAATCCAAGAAATTGGATTATATGAAGAAAAGCTTGGCATCAGGATTGGAGGAAGACTCATTAGTAGTCTGAGATATGCAGGTGACATAACTTTGTTTGCTAAAAGCAAAATGGACTTTAAGCATGTACTGATGAAGATCCAAGAATACAGCCTTCTATATGGGTTACAATGCAAAGTAAACAAAAACCCTCACAAGTGGGCTAATAAACATCATGATAAATGGAGAAAAATTAAAGTGGTCAAAGATTTCATTTTACTTGGATCCACAATTAATTCTCATAGAAGCAGCAGTCAAGAAATCAAATGATGTATTGCATTGTGCAAATCTACAACGAAAGACCTCTCTAAAGTATTAAAGAACAAGTACGTCACTTTGAGGACTAAGGTGTGCCTGACCCAAGCTACTGTATTTTCAATTGCTTCATATGCAAGACAAAGCTGGACAATGAAGAATGATGACAGAAAACTGATACATCTGAATTATGGTGTTGGCAAAGAACATTGGAAGTTCCCTACACTGATAGAACAAAATAATCTTTTTTGGAAGAAGTACAGCCAGAATGCTCAATAGAAGCAAAGATGGTGAAACCTCATTTTAGGTACTTTGGACATGTTAATAGGAGGGACCGGTTCCTTGTAAAGGACAACACAAGTAGAGGGTCAGTGAGAAAGAATAAGACCGTCAAAAAAATTGACTGACACAGTAGCTGCAACAATGGGACCACACATAATTGTGAAGATGGCGTACATTAAGACTGCGTAGCGTTTAGTTCTGTTGTGCATAGGGTTTCTGAGTTGGAGCCATCTTAATAACTAACAACAATGTACTTAGAGCCACAAATTTCCCTCCCAACATTGCTTTAGCAGGGTCTGGGGCACACAATTTCTGCCATGTATTTTCATTTTTACTCATTTAAAGGGTTTGGTTTTTTACTTTTATTTTCTTTAAGAGCTCCTTTGATTTGTGGATTATTTAGTTTTATTGTGAATTATATGATAGTTTACATGAGAGAACCTTAGTTTTACATTCATTCCACCATATATCATCTCATTGTTATGGTTCCAATCCCCTCCATGCATCATCCACCAACCAAAGGGTATATCCTAGATACCTGACCCCTACACTTCCCCCACACCCCACACCCCAGTTTTCGGCCCACAGTCCCTTTCCCTCTCTGGATCAAAAGTCCCCAGCCGCTTCATCACTCCATGTTGTCTTCTCTGTCTCCATCTCAGGTATCTGTTTCTCTGGGTAGGGTCCCGCTCTCGGCTCTTCTCCATTGATGGTCCCAGTGACCTCCGCTCCTAGACTGGAGAATTAATCACTCCCTTCCTTGTTACAAAACGTCTACCTTTGCATTTCCAACCCTTATAATCCGTCCTGATAAGCATTATTCACTACAGTATCAC